TGGGGGAGGAGGAAGCATTAAAGTACTAGAGGAAAGTTGTGTGTTTCATCAGTGCTATACTGCACTCTGACTTGCTTGTCTCCTCCCCACGATACTTCTGTAAGGGGATGTCCAGTTGCCTACAGATGGGCTTTGGGTCTCCACTCCGAACTCCGCCTCATTCACAATGATAATGCTTTTTTTGTTTTTTGATACCTGATCCTATCGATACCTCATGATTACACTGGCTGGTGTGCTTCTTCCATGTAGGCTTTGTTGCTTTTCAGTTAGATGGCCGCTTGTTTATCTTCAGGCCTTTAAGACCCCAGATGATATATCTTTTGATAGCCAGGCACCATCAGGTTTCTTCACCACATTGCTTATGCACCCGTTTTTCTTCAGCAATCATGTCAGGAAGGTAGGTGAGTATCATGGAATGCCAGTTTAATAGGACAGAGTGTTCTTGCATTGAGGGAGTACTTAAGTAGAGGCCCAATATCCATCTGCTACCTTAATACTAAACCTATAAATATATGCACATAGCTCTATTTCTCCATCATCATATATAAATATATTTACATATGTACATGCCTGATTTAGACTTCTATAAATGCCCTTTGCCTCCTAGTTCTTTCCTCTATTTCCTTTTACTTTCTTCTTGTCCCACTATCATGTTCAGCCTTCATTTGGGTTTCAGTAATTCCTCTCAGTTAAATTGCCCTTGATGAAGCCCTCCCAGGCCTCCTACACTTTCCTCACCATTGATTTTTGTGTCACTTGTTCCCTTGTCCCTGGGTTTGTTAACACCCACTTCCTTTCCCCTGCCTCTCCCTCTCCCATGACCCCCAGAACCATTGGTCCCATTGTTTTCTCTTCCAGATTGTTTATCCTACCTATCTTATCTAGATAGACCTGCAGAGGTAATAATATGCACAAAAAACAAGACAGAGCTTAACAAAGCAACACAAGAAAACAACAAAAAGAAAAGTCTGTAAATAGTTCAAGGACCGTTTGTTGGCGTTTAGGAGTGTTTTCCAGTCAAGTCTAATGGGGTGCCGCGCTCTGGCCCCAAAGTCTATTTTTGGCATTCCCTGGGGACTTCCTTGCTCTTAGTGTTTCGTCTCAGTGTGATGGGGTCAGATCGGGCACAGTTCCCACACTGTGTCTCCATTGTTGTTCCCTGTAGGGCTATGGGTTAGTGAGGGATGTCACGTCTCATGGTGGGGCCGGCCCTATGATCCTGTGAGCAGGAGTATCGTCTTCAGGGCTTGGTGGGCCAGGATGTGTCCCAGTCTCTCTTCCTCTCCCTTCATTTGCACCTGTGCGCTCTGATCAGTGCTGTCCTCTGAAGTGAATTCTTTTGCGGGAGAGGGGGCTGCACACATTCTTTGTGCAGCTGTTCTCAGCCTCCTTTTCTGAGTGCTCCCTCTGTTAACATCATCAGCTCACTGCCCTTTAGCTTTCCTGTCACTGCTTCCTAGTTGCTGGTGTCAGTTTGATCCCATCCACATAGATCTTCAAAGAGCACACTGGGCAAGGCAGGCATTCTTTACTGGTTAGGCTAGCATATTGATTGAGAGACTGACTACACGAGCTATTTTTTGCTGTTAAGTTTAAAGCTTGTCTCAGGGCAATAGAATTGGGAATTAGTCTAGCATGTATTGAGATTTTAATACAAAAGCAGACCCTGCTTTGGGAGCTGTCATGGATGGGTAATTCCTAAAGTGCACAATAAAACATTCAACCAATTTGCAACCTTTTTTGCTGTGCTCCCTCATGCTCTGGCCAGGCCCTCCTGAGTTCACCAACCTGTTATTGCCCATGATCTCAGACCAAGCCTGTAGTTTATTCACTGCTCTAGTACAGTGACACACATCCTGCCCCCACCTCCTTACATTCTCCACCTGAGTCCTTTGGTATGGCTGAAGTGGGGAGAGAAAGAAGGCTTGCAGTTGAGAAGTGTGAGCGCTTCCTCTTTTCCTCTCAGAAGCCCTTTTCAGACCTCCTATGGAACCTGAGAAGGTTGTTTCAACAACAGGAGTTTGATCCACCTTGGCTGGAAGGAAACCAGCTGGAGAGTTAATTTAGGGAGGATGTAGGAGGTGTTGAAAGAGTTAGCCAAGTGATGGGGCCAGAGAACAGTGGAGTGCGGGTTGCTTAGCCCTTTGAGGCTCTTAGCTAGCCAGTTTTTCTGCAGCTGCGTTCACCCAGTCTCACTGGAGACCTAGTTGTAAAGAGCACTCTTCGCATGGCCTGCTCCCTAGCACCCAGTGTCCTGGCGTCAGCACTGTTGACTGTTTGAGCTAGATTCTTCCTTGTTTGGGGGCTGCCTGCCCTGTGCCGTGAAGAATGTTTAGCAGCGTCCATGGCCTGTGCCCTCTAAATGCCTCCAGAGATGTTCCCACTCGGTGGTGAGGGGAGCCAGACAGGGAAGGGGAGAGGCTGGTAAAATCACCTTTAGTTGAGAACCATTGCTGTAGATCAGGGGTCATCAAACTCTTGAGATGGAAGAGCCAATCCTGGCCCTCACAACAATTTAAAAATTATTCGAGAGCCATAAATATAATTTTATAAACAAATGAAATTGCCATGATCTGAATGATATCCTTTAAATGTTTTCCATTTTACTTCAGAACCACACATTCACACCGAAAGACCGGCATGTAGCTCTTGAGCTGCAGTTTGCCAACCCCTGCTCTACAAGAAGGCGGTCTCGAAGTCCAGGCTGCCAGCTTATAGAGATTGCATCAAATAAGCGTTTTTCCCCATGGGTCCTGGAAATAAAAGATCTTTACACTGAAGTAGGCTCTTTGGGTGCTGGAGCCTGTGACTTGCCACATGTCTCTAACCCTCCAGGGATACATCTGAGCTGTCAGGCTGCATACATTTCACTCTTGGTGGCATTATTCTTTCACATTTGTATGTAGTGAGTATTAAAATCAGAGTCTAATGTAGACTGAGGCCTGGGAGTGTCAAAGCAGAGTGGTTTTACCCTGTGGCCCTGTGTAGAAAACATTGACTTCACTCAGTTAAGTGAGTTACGTGGTATGTGAAGATCATTGTAGCTGTTGGAGACACTAGAGCACCCAAGCATAAGATAGCCAGGGGCTCTTTAATGGGTGTCAACATACATTCAAGCTGTACGTATCAGAACGCAAGTCAGTGATGATGAGTTCCTTCGATATCGTTTGATCTGAAATTGAAAGTTGCTATTAACTTGCTCCTTGCTCACTGAGTGTTGTGGAGTTGTTTCTGACTCATAGCCACCCTATAGCAAAGGGTAGAACTGTCCCTTTGGGTTTCTGAGACTGTAACTCTTGGGGGAGGGGGGTAGGTAGCCTCACATGTCTAGAGAGAAGCTAGTGGTTTTGAACCGTCAACCTTGTGGCTAGCAGCCCAATGCATAACTCACTATGCCACTTGGACTCCTTAACTTGCTCCTGGGTAACTTTATATCCAACTGCAGATTTTCATTGTTAATACAGATTTCCAGAACAGTTATAGATGATTGCTTCCTTCCTTGCCTGCATGCTATTCTAATAACCTAATTGGTAGACGTTGAAAATTGAATTTTATGGAAAGACTGCCCAACATTGTATAACTATAGCATTGTGCTCTATGCTTAACACCGTTGTCATTTCATAAGGCTCATTTCACAACATGGCTTAAGGTGGGTACATTATGGTTTAAAACAAAATGGTAGAGACCATCAACAGTGGGAATCTGAAGTCTTAGCTGGTTCGGTACATACTGTAATGATTTGTGGCATAGTTTCAGTCCACTTGAATTCTTTAACAGACAAAAAGGACAAGTGATTTGTGGTAATTCAGAATGGCAAGTAATTGTTTTCCTTGTTAAGATACTTTGAATCTACCTACATATAACCTCCACTCTGGGGAACAGGCAGCAGAAAAGCGGGTGAAGGGAGATGTCGGACAGTGTAAGATATGACAAAATAATAATTTATAGGATAGGAAGAAAAAAATAACAACTTGTAGCAGATAAAATATTTGCCTCAGGGTACAAAATGTATATGAGTTGTTAAAATGTTAACCTGCTCTGTAAACTTTCACCCAATTCACAATAAAATTATTTTATATAAAAAATAATAATTTATAAATTATCAAGGGTTCATGAGGGAGGGGAAGTAGGGAGGGGGGGTAGGGAATGAGGAGCTGATGCCAGGGGCTTACGTGGAGAACACATTTGAGAATGATAAGGGTAACGAATGTACAAATGTGCTTTATACAATTGATGTATGTATGGATTGTGATGAGTTGTGTGAGCCCCTAATAAAATGATTTTTTTTTAAGATACTATAGAAATGGTACTTTTTTATGTATGGATTGTAAGAGTTGTAAGAGCCTTCAATAAAATGATCTTTTTTTAAAAAAGATACTTTGGATGATACAGTTTTGAGTTCAGTCAGGATCAGTAATTAGTTAATCCAGAGCAAAATAGAGCAGGGAGGCTTGCATCATGAGGTACTTTTTATCCTGTCAATTACTTGGTACAGTGCTCAAGATTTTGCTTTGGATCTTTTTGTTTGTGATAAATTACGGTCTGTGCACTATGTAAGGAGCCCCGGTGGTGCAATGGGGGGGTAAGCTTTGGCCTGCTAACCAAAAGGTCAGCAGTTCAAGCCCACGAACTGCTGTGCTAGAGAAAGACGGGCTGTCTGTAAAGATATCTGTAACGATGCTGAGCCTTGGGAACCTCGGCGTGGCTGTGAGGCAGAATCAAGCGTTCGTCATGGGTTTAAGTGTTGTGTGGTCTTGTGCTGTTGCCCTGGAATCGGCCCCTAATTCATGGCAACCTCATACACGGTGGACAACATGCTGCCTTGTGTCACTCCATCCCCATAACCCCTTTCGCATCCATACGATTGTCCTTGGCTGGTTTTCAGAAGTGGAACCCCAGGCCTTCCTTCCCAGGCTGTGTCAGTCTAGTAGGAGCTCTGCTGAAATATGGGATAGGTTAATTCATTATTTAATGGATTTGTTTTTAAATTACTGGAACAGGGGGACAGCCTCACAAAAGGAGAAAGACTTCTGATATCAATGAAACCGAAGAACATTTGGAATCTTTAATATGCAAAGTAGGAGAAAAGGTATGTACCGCAGTAGGCAACATGTGGTGGCCTTAGGGGGTGGTTGACCCTGCTTTGATTAATTTCTGCAGCTGAAAATGAGTATCTACATTTTAGGCAGAGCTTGCATTGCCATGCATCTGTATTTCCTAAATAGAGCGCATATTTAAGCATACTTTCCATAGAATATGAGCTTGGAAGGGGCCTGAGAAATAGTCCTTCCTATTGATAATTGCAGAACCAAACAAGTTCTGGATACTGGATATGTTTTGCCAAAGTCATAGAGTGAGTCAGCCAGACGGAATAGAGCTCACTCCTAATGCTTACTCTGCAGTACTGGACTACTGTATATACTCGAGTATGAGCCGACCCGAATATCTGCAGAGGCACCTAAGTTTACCACAAAAACTGCATTAAAAATGTGCTGAAAAACTTGGCTTATACACAATTATACACGGTACTTAGCTTTTTCTCAGGTTTCTGAAGATTCACTACCTGAATTGACTGATGATAATCCTGCCATAGTACCTTATGCATTTAAGACCTTAAGTTTTTTTTTTATTATCATGTGGAGAAATTGTATTTTAGTTCCCTGACTGCTGCAGACTTGACAGCTCTTGAGTATGCTCTCCTCTACAGAGTGCCTGCTCTTTGGAGAGCAACCTAGAAAGTCTCGCTGGTGTTTTGGAAGCTGATCTTCCCAACTACAAGAGCAAGATCTTAAGACTTCTTTGTACAGTGTATGTATGCAAAAAATCTGTGAATCCAGGTGATGATGTATTATCTACTCTTAAATGCTTTGGGAAATGTTTCTGTGGGAAATTTGTGCAAATTAAATGACATTTCACTCTTTTGTGAACTCTTTGCTAGGGATAAATAAAAGGAAAATTGAGCATTTATTTTCCTTATGTTTTGTTTCTCAATCTTTGAATCATTGACTGTTTTTACTTTCAGAGATTTTTTTTTCCAACCCACTCTCCCTCTACCCTCCCCCAGAGATTTTTTTTTAACATGTACATTTCAATAAATAAGAGTTTAACTTCTGTCTTTTAGTGACAGCAATTTTCAACCAAAAGCCCAGCCAAACAAACTCACCATTACCTAGTTGATGCTAAATCCTACTGCTCTTGGAGGACAGAGTATTGTTTGCAAGGCTGTAAAATTTATGGAAGCAGCCTGCCACCTCATCCTCCCTGTCAGCCGCTGGTGGGTGTGCACTGCTGGCCTTTTTAGTTAGCAACCAAAGCACTTTAACAGCTATGCCAAGTCTCCTGTCTAGCCAAGAGAACCACACACAGTTGAGAACTGTTCAGTCGAGTAGTAAGCAGCCCATCTCTGAAGACTCAAGCTGCTTTGCTTCTGGAACTACTGATGAGCGCATCTGCTTCCGAGTTAGCTGGGATAGGTGTCAACATTGAATTTGTAAGGGCATAGAACTGGAGGAAAAAGTCATCCCGGTGGAGAAGATAGTAATCAAGACCTTGTCATCTCTTAGACATTGATCTACTCACATGTCTTTTGTTTTCTGAGCACTCGAGTGGCATTTACACTAAATTGTGAAAACTTACATCTTTCTTTTAAGATTTAACTAATAGTACATGGTTATGTTCTTTTTTGGATTGATTACTAGCAACTCAATTTTTTTTTCTGGTACCATAAATTGTCCTTAACTCTACTGCTAGATGCCCTGGAGGAACAATCCCCTCCTGCTGAATTATTATGAATTTCTGTTTACTTTTCCTTTTGAGCTAGTTCCTAAACGAAGCAATATTTGTATTTTCAAGAAGTTAAGGTCTGCTAATATAAGCTTTGCCGTACTTTCCAAAGAACTGATGAGAACTACCTCATTTGTAACAGGCAAACTGAGATGTAAAGAAATCTTCCTAAAGAGTACCATATTAAGAATCCATCCATTTAACTGGCAAGAACTTAGTTGGAACTAGTTTTAATCCTATGTGTATCTTTTCAAAGCAATAATGTTTCTCAGAGTGAAATTATGGTCTGGTGACGTTTGGTTAACTAAGTTTAGGAATGAAGCATGCTGTGTCCGCTTAATGAATCTGCATTAAATTGGTTTCAACCAACATTTCCCAGATACACTACCATGGAAGCATTTTCTGTGGAAGATTTATTTAGTTCCACTACATTTAGAAAAACTGGCCAAGCATTACATTTATTTCTGTTTGATAACTTCACATTAGACTATTTTACTTTCTTACCTTTTGGATTAATGAGAACTTAAAGGAAAAATTGTGGGTGGCCAGTCTTTTTCTCTTCCAATTATATTCACATTTTTCCAAAGTAGCTTCAAACCATTTTTAAGGGTAACAACCATTTTCAAAGCTGATGAAATAAAAGTTCTGTGTCATTTAAAATTTTGCAACTGAACATAATGCCATTCTTTTGGGATTTTCTTGTACTGGGTTCTCAAATCAGTGCACGTCTGTTACCTGAGAAGTTGACCATTTATACCACATTGGTGGGGCTGCTGAATGCCAGGAATTACAATTTTGGTGGAGAATTTGTAGAAGCTATGATTCGTCAGCTTAAAGAATCACTGAAGGCAAACAACTACAGTGAGGCAGTGTATCTGGTAAGTTATCTGTTTGGTGGATCATGAGTTAAGGTAGGAAGGGAATCTGGAGGCAGTCTGCAACAAATAATTTAAGTCCAGCCCCCCTTACACGCCAACAGACACTCTTTGAAAACCATTGTCATGAAACATCCAGACCTTTTTGCCAAGCCCAGTGGCTTGGTTTTTGCTCTAGATCCCACGTGGCTTCCCAGAAGCACGTGATTTAGGGCAGTGGTTTCTGTGACACCATTTTTTCAAGCCCACCTGCTCCTGTCTTGCTTTGCCCTTAACTGTTTGTGTTTCCTCTGGTTCTGTGCTCACTTTGCTGCTTTACACACTAACCTGTAGCATCCTTTCACCGCTTCAGCAAACCCCCCTTATCCTGATCCCCAAATCTATAACCTAGACCTTCAGCTGCATTCTTCTGACCTCCCTCGAGACCTGGGTTTCAAATGCTACCTGAGTGACCCTCATACCTGGAAGTTTCCAGTTAATGTCTTATTCATACCTCTGTTCCTTCTGCCCGTCTCCAACCCACAAAACAGCCATACACACACACTGACCACTGTCTGCTGAGTTGGCCCATCCAGAATGGGGAATTTCCTTTTATCTCTTTGTCCCCTCAAACTCTGCCTTCTATCTCTTGACTCCACCCCTTCCTCTTCTCTCAGATCTCCAGCATAGGCCTTGCTTCCTCCTTTTGTTCTTCACAGCCTCTTAACCGACCTTTCTGCATCCAGATCCTTCGCCTTTTACTTTCCCTTCTTCAGTGGTGTCACAGTAGTCTTTTCTATGACTTTGTTCTACTGGTGTCAGCTCGCTTTTGTCCCGTTGTCCACAGTGGCAGGTCTTTATGGCATGATCTACGAGATGATTCGTTGAGTTGTAGGAAGTAGATATTAAGAACTTTTATTATCTTGAATGGAATTGAGTTTTACTAATATTTGATACATCAATTGACAGTGACCCAGTGCATTTTATAAGTCAATGTACATGTCAGAGGTATAGAATCAAATTATTTTTAGTGGCATGCGCATATAACCAAAAAATTTGGGCACTCATCAGACTAATATTAAGCCCAGACTCCTTAGCTTCACATTATGGGTTTCCCTAATTTGTCTCCATCCTTGCCTCCCGTACACCTTCCAGCTTTACTAAATTGTTTCTCCCAACAGGTTCGTTTTTTATCTGATCTTGTGAATTGTCATGTAATCGCTGCCCCATCGATGGTTGCTATGTTTGAAAATTTTGTGAGTGTGACCCAGGAAGAAGATGTACCTCAGGTAAGAAAACCGCTTCCATTTAGTGGACTGCCTGCCTGGGTTATGCACCTGGAAAACCCTGGAGTCAGTTCTGTTTAAAAACACAAGGGCTTCACAAGTCAGAATTCCCTCCCCAAGATCGGGAGGAGTAGGGTGGGCTAGGTGAAACATCCCTTTAACAGTAAAAAAGCAGAAGATAAAATAATTGTCACACTAGCTTCCCAGAGTATGTCAGCTGGCATATTGTAGATTCTCATGGCAGAGTGAGATTAGAATGAATAGGACCAGAAACGCTCTGACATCTTTTTGGAGACATCTTAACTTCCACAGGGCTTTGTGCAAGAACAATCAAAAATATGAATCAAAATTGACTAACAAAATACAAACTTTTAACAAATTCTTTAGGTGCGACAGGATTGGTATGTGTATGCGTTTCTGTCGTCTTTGCCCTGGGTCGGGAAGGAGTTGTACGAAAAGAAAGATGCAGAGATGGACCGCATCTTTGCCAGCACCGAAAGCTACCTGAAGTAAGGCCACTGCTTAAAAGTTTTCCTTGTGTAGGTAAAGGGTGTCTTACTGCAGTCATGGATGTGGTACGCTTTAGCAGTTTGTGACCATTTAGTTTAATTGCTCGAAAACAAGTAGCAGAGTTATGGAAGGCTTTTCCTAGGGACCTTTGTATAGCTGCTGTCATAAATAACCCACTGAAAGCACAAAGAATTCAAGTAGGTTTGCTCCCTTCACCTTTGCAAAGGAGTTGGCAACCTAAGTTGCATGTGTCAATGTTTGCAAAGGGGTAACACATCCTGGAACAGTAGTTCTCGGACATTGATGTGTGTAATCCCCTGTGACTCTACAATGTGCTCTGACCCACCATCTGGGATTACCCACATTGTGAGAGAGATTTGGCCATTGGTATGTGGTGCCAATGGTTAGCGCTCCTGCCTGCTAACTGGAAAGTCGGAGGTTTGAGTTCACCTGAAGACGCCTTGGAAGGAAAGACCTGACCATGTACTTACTGCCAAAGCTGCAGCCACAGTGAAACCTCAGGGCACAGTTCTGTTCTGGAACACACGGGGACTCTCCATAAGCTGGAGTTGATTATACAGCGCGCGCGCGCGTGTGTATGTGTGTGTGTTAATTAATTGAATGTGTGTGTGTGTGTTAATTAATTGAATGCTAAACTAAGCCCTTCAAACAGTGCTTCTTAACCTCTCATCTTAGCCCACAACATGAGTGTTACTGTTAAGGTGATCTCACCTCTTCCCATTTTCCACTTCTCCCAAGCCATGCGAAACTTGGGTCTTTTACTATGTGTAATTTTATCAACAGGCCCCTTAGTTAACAATGTTTAATTACCAAGCTTCATGCTAATGATTATGGGTCCTTTTTTTTTTCTTTCTCATTTATTTTATTAAAAGTTTTAATTTCTTATTAAATGGTGTCTCTTTGGATACAGTTACTATTTATATTTTAGTTACAAATGTAGTTAAAGATGTCTAAAGATAAATTCTATTATATATAGTATATCATATAAGTATATAGTTACAGTAAGCTACTTTGAAGTGATGCATGTTTTTTTTTAATGTATTTTATTTTTAAAAAGTATACTAGTTAAAAGAGATGTTTACACAAGAAAATAGCGGCATAAATAAGCAGCCTTTTCCTTTCTATTCTTAAGATTTCGTCCCCTTCTGAGATGACCATTGAGGATGTTTCTTTGGCATCTTTTAGTGGCTGACTATGACTCTATTAACATCTGCGTATATGTCTGCTCCCCTTTTTATATCAATGACAAGCCAGTGGGCACTGTCCAGCACTTGGCTTTTTAAGTGCTCTCTGCTAGCCTGCTGTTCCAGTGTACCCTCATTTTGCAAACCAAGCCTCTGCTGGTAGGCATTTAGGTTAATTTTCAATCTTTTGTTGTCATAAACGATGTGCAGCAGTTCTTTTTTTTTTTCCCCCCAGCAGTTTTATTTATTTTTTTTTTTCTTTTTTAACATTTTATTAGGGGCTCATACAACTGTTATCCCAATCCATACACACATCAATTGTGTAAAGCGCATTTGTACATCGTTTCTCAAAACATTTTCTCTCCATTTAAACCCCCGACATTAGGTCCTCATTTTTCCCCTCCCTCCCCGCTCCCCCCTCCCGCATGAGCCCTTGATAGTTTATAAATGGGTATTTTGTCATATCTTGCCCTGTCCGACGTCTCCCTTCATCCACTTTTCGGTTGTCTGTCCCCCAGGGAGGAGGTCACACACAGTTCCATGTAATCGGTTCCCTCTTTCCTACCCATTCTCCCTTTACCGTCCCTGTTTCGCCACTCACACCACTGGTCCTATAGGGCTCATCCGTCCTGGATTCCCTGTATTTTCAGTTCCTATCTGTACCAGTGTACCTCCTCTGGTCTAGCCAGTCTTGCAAGATAGATTTCGAGTCATGGTAGTGGGAGCGGGGAGGAAACCTTTAGGAACTAGAGGAAGATTGTATTTCTCATCATTGTTACCTCGCACCCTGACTAGCTCATCTCCTCCCCAAGACCCCTCTGTGCAGCAGTTCTTATACATGTGTGCACATCTATTTGTGTGTTATTAGAAATGCCATTACGGGTCGAAGTGTCTGAACCAGATTGCCTTCCAAAGAGTATGCCTATTAATTACTCTGTCAGCAATGTTTCCGGCTACCTGTTACCTCCCATTTGATGATATAATAGCTTATCAAACAAAACATCTGATATCTGCCAGTCTGATAGGTAAAAACTGTTATTTCATTGCTTTAATTGGCACTTGACTAGGTATGAAAGCAACTGAGCCTCTCTTCCTGCTTTTAAAAGCCTAAATGGAAGTTATCCTTTTTTATCTTTAGAAGACGCCAAAAGACTCATGTGCCCATGTTACAAGTCTGGAATACTGATAAGCCACATCCCCAAGAAGAGGTAAGGTTATTGCAGGCTTTTATGATGCAAACAGTCAGCTCTTGAGTCAGTTCTTCTCTTGGTAACATGTTCAAATCATTCCTTTTAGCTAGCTTCCCACCGTTCACAGCAGGAGTCCAACTCTAATAGCACTGGGCAGATAAAAGAGGGTTTTTGCTCAGCATCCCTTTGTTCTCTCGATCCAGGTGTCATGTTTGACCATTTGCTCTTTGAATGTCAAATTGGAGAGGTGTAAATTCATGGCCAGATATTTTTTATAAAAAACAATTACTAGTAGTTCAGAGAAAAACCTAACACCCTTTGTTGTCCCGTTTTTAATTTACAAGTTGGCTTACATGTGTATTTCAAAAGATAGTGACCTGGTTTTGTCCAAATGTTACTTCTAGCTTCCAAATACCTAATAATTATTAAAAACCGATCTATCTTCAGTACTTAGATTGCCTGTGGGCCCAGATTCAGAAACTGAAGACGGATTGCTGGCAGGAGCGACACATCCTAAGGCCTTACCTTGCATTTGACAGCATCCTGTGTGAAGCACTACAGCACAACCTGCCTCCCTTTACTCCACCTCCTCATACTGAGGACTCTGTGTACCCGATGCCTCGGATCATCTTCAGAATGTTTGATTACACAGATGACCCTGAGGTATGTGGCCAGCTGACGAGTGCCTGTGGTAATCGTGCTTGAATTGCTCCCATAATACCGGTAACTTGTAAATTTGAGTTGTTCACTGTCTAAGAAGATTGATGAACACACCAGGGCAGTATTTTCCTTTCAGCTAATGATATCACCTCATAATGCACGCAGTTCCATTTAGCATATATAAATAGATTAAGAGCGTAGTGGGAAGGTTGAGCATGTAGATTTGAGAGCCCTGTGGATGGAATGTTATTCTTGGCTTAACCACGTACTGGCTGTGTCTTCTTGGGTGAGTTGCTTACCTGTTTATGCTTTCGTGTCCTAAAGGATTGATAATCATACCTACCTCTTAAAACTGTGGTGAGGATTAAATGATTGGTATACAAAAAATGCTTAGAACTGAGCCTGACGCCTATTAAGTGCTCAATAACGATGAATTAAGTTATCTGTTTAAAACTCAGTTTAAGAGATTTTCCTCTTTCCAGCCCTCACATTTTAAGTTATTATTTACATCTTTTGCAATTATGTGAAAGCAAGGTTAACATAAAATGACTTTACAGTTTTAAGGAGTCCTGCAAATGGTACGCTTGGTTAAGTGTCAGACTGCTTATCTCAGGGTTGGTGGTTCAAATCCATCAGCAATGAGACTATCTGCCCCTGAATACGACGTTTGAAAACATCTTTCAATGAACTTCTGTATCTGGTCTATGATGGAAGTCTCCCATCCTCAAAGTTAAAATCAAATTATGTTGTACTTTTAATATACAAGAATTAATTCTTTAAAAATAGCTCATATAACCAGTGGTAGTATGGCTTAAAAAAAAAAATTGAGACTGGCATTTTTCAGAACTTTTATCCCGTGGTGCTCTAGCAAACCACAAGGTCAGCAGTGGACAGTCACTTTTAAAGGAGGCTTTCTACTCAAAAGGCAGCTCTACTTTGACCTGAAGGGTGGCTGTGAGTTAGAATCAAGTCCACAGCAGTGAGTTTGATTTGGAGTTTGGGTTGATGAAACAATCGCTTCTCACACATTTGTGGAGTCAGGAAAAGAGCCTATCTTTTCTAGTCTGAAATACATGTTTTGTTTTTTCCCCAGGGTCCTGTTATGCCAGGAAGTCATTCAGTGGAGAGATTTGTAATCGAGGAGAACCTGCACTGCATCATTAAATCCCACTGGAAGGAAAGGAAGACTTGGTAAGCCGACTTTCATGCTACATTCAGAGCAGGGAAAAGGAACAATGTTGATGATTTAGTCAGCAAGATGATGTTTAAAGACAGTAGCAGATTCTTCCTTTCATTCTGCCTCCTTGTCTCTAAAGATATTTCCTGTGCTCTCTTGAGCTATTCACCTTCAAATAGTACTTTTCTGGATTCTCGGAGCTTCAAATCCACCAGCCCCTCCATAGGAGAAAGGTGTTTTACTCTCAGAAACATTGATAGTCTTGGGACCCACAGGGGTCAGTGCTGCTCTGTCCTATAGGGTCGTTATGAGTCAGAATTGGTGGCAGGTAGTGAATGATTTGCCATATGCTTATGAGAGAAACAACTTGGATTTTTTTTGTTTCATTGTTCTGGGGGGAAATGAAGATTCATGATTTTCCTGGGTTTTCTAAAACTTGAGATAGCTCAACTTTGAAAGCATTTCTTTTCAATGAGGTTTTCTAAGACCTTGGCAAGTGTGGGTTTTTATTTCATAATAAAAAGAGGTATTGTGTTTTGGGAGTGATCCATCCTGTTAAAACTTTATTTAAAGTTGGTAGCTCTGATTGTATGTCTTTTAGTATTTCTTTAGACATCTGATTTCATGTCCTTTAGTATTTTTTTTTTTTGTTCTTTCAGGGAATTTGGGGTGCATTGAAGGTTTTCCTTGTAGAACACAAAATAATTTGTGCCAGAGTTAAAAGTAAAGCAACTGAAATCTAGAAAAGTTCCGAAGAGGTTTCTTTGTATCACACTGCTTTTGAAATGGTTTGATTTGTTGTGTATGTTTGTGTGCTTAATAAGCTTAAACCACACTTTCTATAGCGCCGCCCAGCTGGTGAGCTATCCAGGGAAAAACAAGATCCCTTTGAACTACCACATAGTTGAGGTAAGTATTCCACATAGAGTACATTTCAGAATCTATCTGTTGGCTTTAAAGTGCAATTTATTTTTGGCTTTTTTTTTTCTTGCCACTTGTCAGGCACTGCTGAAAGTTAACAGAGGTGCAAGGAAATTGCTGTCAGTGTGGTGCTGTTAGCCATGTTAGTAAGAAAAGAGGAGGTTGAGACCACTAGCCAGAGTGGGACGTTGAGTTGCCTGTGTGTTGTTTATGTAGTGTACCTTCATTCATGTAATTTACCAGGGATAACGTAAGTTACCTCTAGTTCTGTTAACACACCGTCCACATAATCAATGTCTAAGTGACTTACATACTTTCTAAAATGGTTTACTTCAAGCAGGTCACTAGCATACATGGTTACTAGCATACACCAAAGTGGGTTACTCCCTGTATCACGTAAGGATGTGTCTTTATTCTTAGAAATCAAATGAGCCACAACTAGGAAGACTAGAAATGTTACTACCCCATATTAGCTTGTACAACAGAACACTCATGGCATAGTTGAACATTTTTTAGAAATGCATATCCCTAGAATGGGGTTTTCACTGGACACCAGGATGTAATTTGTCAAACTGTTAACTGTTACTCTTTTATGTAAAAGTATTCATAAAAGACAAGACATTGGTATGATATGCTACTTTAAGATATACTTTTTGTTTATATGCATATTCACGTGCTTTTTAAAAAAAACTTCTTAAAAAATGTTACATCTGTCCCATCTTTAAGAAACGAATATATTTAGGCTGTGAATTTGGCTCATTGACATGCTTTCATTGAAGTGTAAATGTAAGTCATATGATTTCACCTGCAAAATGTGAAGGAGGTCCTAAAAGTTCATGGGCAAATGGAATTCAAAGACGGTGGAACTTTTCCACTAAGTTCTTGAAGCCCGGTGGTGGGTAGAATTGGCACAGAGGGTCGGTGGAGAGGAAGGGGTGCAGACAACAAGGCTTTAGCATTGGAGTGGGTGGTGCACGGATTGCATAGGGAGGGGAACAAAAAGAATCTGAACCAGAGGCCGGGCCGAGAAGTCTTGGACTACCAAAATGATTTCCGGTCGGCTATATATTTAAGTTCCTGTATAGCACCGTAGGAACCCTGGTGGTGTGGTGGTTACTGGTTGGGCTGCAATCCCCATGGTTGGCAGTTGGAAACCAACAGCAGCTCCTGGGGAGAAAGACTGGGCTTTCTACTCCCGTCAACAGTTACCTCTTAGAAACCCAGGGGGGTCGGGGTCAGGGCTCTGTGAGTCCACATTGACTCACTGGCAATGAGTTTGGTTTGGGTGTAGCACTTGGACTCAGAGTGGGAAGAGGGTTCTTCCTACTCCTAGAAATGAACTCATGGCTCCGTTGAGCCCTCTGTAAATTGTACCTCTGGATTTAACCATTCTCTGCAGGTGTGGGTCAAGAACATCAGACAGAAAGAACACCATTTCAAAAATTCAGACTAGTTCTCTGGCATGAATTATTAGAGGCGATTATTAGAGTTGAGGGGGGTGCAGACATGGCTGTTGAACGCATTCTGACTCATGATTCTCTTCCAGGTGATCTTTGCTGAGCTGTTTCAGCTTCCAGCAGCCCCTCACATTGATGTCATGTACACAACCCTGCTCATTGAACTGTGCAAGCTTCAGCCCGGCTCCCTGCCCCAAGTTGTATCCTTTCCTTTGTTGTTAAACTTACTACTGTCTTTGGCTGTCAGCTTTCAAAGATGAGCAAATTTACTTCTAGGTTAAAACTTTTAGATTCAAAACCACTTTTGAAGGGCATATATATATATATAAATATACACACACATATATACATTTGTGTCCATAAATATTTAACAATCCTAGCCGGTACCTTAACATCTATGACAGCAGCTTAGTGTTTTCAGTTTTTAAAAGAAGGAAAAGTTGCTTTCTATCAACTAACAGTCATCTTTCTCAGCTCTGTAGGAGGTTAGGACTTCATTAGACAAGGTCAAAACAGCCCTTATGAAGCTGATATTTTACTGCTCAATTTAAAAATAAGTGGATGTCTACCTATGGAATGATATAACAAACAATAAGAAAATTTGTTTTAATGAATGTCTGTCCCAGGAACATGGAGAAATAGATTTCACAGGTATGCAGGTCCTTTATGCTTCAAAGCTGTTAAAAAATTCTTTATACGAAGATGCTCAACATTACTCATTGTTAAGGCTTTCAGGAAACAGTGTCTTCTCTGTCACAGCTTACTTTATAGCATAGATTCCAAACTAACTTTTCAGGAAAAACATTATTCAGTGCCCCCTGGCAGTTAAAAACTTATATACTGTCAGTCAACCATAATCCAGGGTAAAGTGTAAGTTATCTGCTTTTGCACACACCAGTGGGTGGTATCACCCACTTTGTTAACACTGGAGGTGGAAAATGGTTTTCCTTATCTTCAAACTCACAGCTTGCACAAGCAACGGAAATGTTATACATGCGTCTGGACACAATGAATACTACATGTGCTGACAGGTACCGTCGTCATTGCTTTATTTCCATACCACCTGTTCCATGCCACCTTCTACTCTCTCTACCTCAGAAAACAGTTTGCTCAGTAAGACACTTACCTTCTTAAGAATTTCCAAGTTGATTTTCTTTCTCTCTTGACTCTCCAAAATAATCTAGTTAAATTTTAGTATGGAATGAGGCCCAGGCTGAGATTTTTATTTATTTAATCGATTGTTTAGGTGTTTGGTGCTATGGACAATCTTTCCGGCACAAGGCCTCTTCTTTCTCCTGCAGAGCCACTGATGGGTTTGAACAGCAGACCTTTCAATACTTAGTCTACTGTGCTACCAGGGCTTCTTACCAAGACGGGGAAAGGAGGGAGTGCTAAGGGCAAATGTGCCAAAGCCCACCCCTAGCTGCAGGGCTCTCTGTTTTTATAAATAGACCCCATTGGATTTTTATAACTCTGGTCATTGGATGTTCAGTTGACTTCATTTTTAATGAGAGGTCTATAAATAATATCATCTTTATTCCTCGCTTTCTGTTTTCCCTGGCTTCTGTCAGTTTCTCAGTTTAGGTCAGGGCAGGTATTGAACATTCCTTCAATTCCCGTGACCTTTCGAGTTCATTTTTCAAATTCCATATCTGGGGGTTCTCATGTCAGTGACTGACTGAGGTGGAAAATACATGAGTGATTCGGTAAATACTTAATGAGTTCCTACAAAGGGACTCAATATTCAGAAGGGTTCTTTGTTAGTTCGGTCAGGTGTATCTGAGGGGAAAGTGGCTCTGATGGTATTTGGGGGGTGTGTGTGTGTCTGTGTGTGTGTGTGTAGTCTGCAATACAAGAGGGCATTATTATGGCTCTGCCGCGTGTGTAAGGTGCCTTATCTGCAGCTGCTTTTAATGAAACAGACCCTGTTTCATTATCTGTTAGTTGGGGGGAAGCCATGCATTCCTCGGAAGGGGTAAGAAGAAATTTATATAAAAATATATTAGATACATGAAAATAGAATAATTTATCATTTATCAAGGGGGAGGGGTAAAAAGAGGAGCTGATAACAAGGGCTCAATAGAAAGTAAATGTATAGAACAGGTGTCCTCAAAACCGAGGATGTTTATCCAGGCCGCTGGGTGTTTTTGCCCCGTTTGTTTTTTTACTTCAAAATAAGATATGTGCAGTGTGCGTAGGAATTTGTTCATAGTTTTTTTTTTAAACTATAGTCCGGCCCTCCAGCGGGTCTGAGGGACAGTGAATTGGCCCCCTGTTTAAAAAGTTTGAGGACCCCTGGTTTAGAAGATAAAGATGGCAACATACATACAAATAGGCTTGACACAGTTAATGTATAGATTGTTATAAGAGCTGTAAGAGCCCCAATAAAATGATCTTTTCATAAAATTCAAAAACTTAAAAAATAACTTAAAAACTTAAAAAATAAAATAAATATATAAGAATATATTAGGTGCCTGACACAAAGCAGGTGTTCAGATGGGTTCTGATACTGACTTAAGAGGGAGATTGCTGTCAGAAGGAGTGATATAGAGAGCTTATTTATGAAGAAAAAAGATTCCAGGATTTCCAAAGAAAGACTTGGTGACACACCGAGGAAACATACAACTGTCCTCTGGTTCCTTAATGCTTCTTTTACCCTACCCCACCCCACCATTGACCCCATTTCTGCCTTACAAATCTGGCTAGACCAGAGCATGCACACTGGTACAGATAAGACCAGGAAACCAGGGATCCAGGACGGATAAACCCCTCAGGACCAATAATGAAAATAGTGATACCAGGAGGTGAAGTGGAAGGGGGGTGGACAGGAGAAAAGGGGAATTGATCAAAATGATCTACATATAACCCCCTCCCAGGAGGACAGACAACTGAAAAGTGGGTGAAGGGAGAGAGCGGTCAATGTAAGACATGAAAAATAATAATTTATAAAGTATCAAGAGTTCATGAGGGAGGGAAGGTGAGGGTGGGGGATGAGCCGATAACAAGGGCTCAAGTAGAAAATGTTTTGAAAATGATGGTGGCAACAAATGTACAAATGTGCTTGACACAATGGATGGATGTATGAATTGTGATAAGACCTGTACGAACCCCCAATACAATGATTAAAAAGAAAAAACTTGAGTGGCAAGGGAAGGTATTTGAGGGTAAATAAAAATGTATTGCTACTAGGCTTCAACTTCATACATGGCATGGGTTTATTTTTGGTAAATCAAAGCATGATTAAGCATGTCTTTGCTCAGTAATACACAGGCTACATTAGTCTGAGAGTGCCTTCAAAAAAAGGAGGATAAAGTGCCTTCTAAACAGCCATGAAAATGAAGGAAACAAGCGGCCATCTAGCTCAGAAGCAACAAAGCCCACCTGGAAGAAGCACAGCAGCCTGTGCGATCACGAGGTGTCGAACGGATCAGGTATCAGGCATCATCAGAACAAAACATCCTATCATTGTAAACGAGGGGAAGTGCAGAGTGGAGGCCCAAAGCCCATCTGTAGGCAACTGGACATCCCCTTATGGAAGGGTCTCTGGGAGGAGAGGAGCCAGTCAGGGTGCAGTGTAGCAACAATGAAACCTATAACTTTCCTCTAGTTCTTAAATGCTTCCTCCCCTCCACTATCATGATCCCAATTCTACCTTACAAATCTGGCTAGACCAGAGGGTGTACACTGGTACAAATAGGAACTGGAAACACAAGGAATCTAGGGCGAATGATCCCTTCAGGACCAGTGGTGAGAGTGGCGATATCAGGAGGATGGAGGGAGGGTTGTGTGGAAAGGGGGAACCGATTGCAGGGATCTACATGTGACCTCCTCCCTGGGGGATGGACAACAGAAATGTGGGTGATGGGAGACGTCAGACAGTGCAAGAGATGACAAAATAATAATTTATAAATTATCAAGGGTTCATGAGGGAGGGGGGGAGGGGGAGCAGGGAGTGAGGGGAAAAATGAGCCGATGCCAGGGGCTTAAGTGGAGAGCAAATGTTTTGAGAATGATGAGGGCAATGAATGTACAAATGTGCTTTACAAAATTTATGTATGTATGTATGGATTGTGATGAGTTGTATGAGCCCCTAATAAAATGATTTTTTTTAAGCCATGAAAAATAATGATTTTGAGGTAGGGCTAATAGAAAAAATTAAAACTGAAATAGCTGCCTATATAAAATAACCGTTTTTGGATGGATTGAGTGCTTCAAGGAAGGCCAGGAAGACCTCAAAGATTGAGTTCAAGGCAGAGTTCGGCTCACCAGGTTATGGTAATGATTTTGGCGGGGACTCCAAAGGGGTCGTGTTGATAAAGTTTCTCAAAGGACACAGGATGGTCATGGGAGCTGATGATGGAAAAGACTGAAGAAATGTGAAAGCTGCATTGGTCGGAAAAGGTCAGGGCAAGTTGCACTGCGGAATTTCCCCATGCAGTCCGCTCCTTCTCTCGGGGAAGCAAAAGCTGCCCAGCCTACAGTGCTGATCTTCCCCTGAGGAATGCCAAGACTGCCTTTTGACCCATTGTGGTATAAGGTGGGCCGCACAGAACTCTGTGGGAAGGAAGGGTCAGTGAGCTTGGAAACCCTGGGCCATCTGGAGGACACATTGAACAGCACCTTCATATTTGGGGGAGTTTTGTTTTATGAAAGTTTCTTTTATTTTTGTAGCAATGCTTTTTTATACCTACCCTCATGTGTAGGGGGCGGGATATGGTTTTCATGTAAAACAAGGTTTTTAAAAATCTGTTCAAAGAATTGTTTAAGTTCTGTTGTAAATTACAGCTATTTAGCCTATTCTGCCTCGTCTCTTTTCTCTCCGTATAGGTTTATTAATTGGTTTTCTCATCATCTAAGTAACTTCCAATTTCGTTGGAGCTGGGAAGATTGGTGAGTGGGGCTGTATTTTGTTTTATTCTCCCCTTCTCTGGAATCTCCCATAGTGAGAAGCTGTGACTGGTTAAAACTGTCACATAGAAGCAGGTTCCTCACTGGGCTGCTTAGTTTCTTTGGTATTTATTACATGTAAATGAAGTTATTTCGGTAGAAGATAACCATTTTTACTTGAATCCACATTGTGTGAGTGCAGATTCTGCGTAAGAACTCATAAAACTGCATTTCCTCATTAGGTCAGATTGTCTCACTCAGGATCCTGAAAGCCCCAAACCCAAGTTTGTGAAGGAAGTTCTGGAGAAATGTATGAGGTGAGCGCTTTGCCTTTCTCCCGTTTAGGTACTGTCCTAATTGTAGGGGTTGTTTCTCGAATGTGCACTTAGGAGATACATCCAGAATACTATGTTTTAATAATTCCAGGTCTTTGCTTCATTGCCATTTTAATTTTCGATCCAGATTTAGGCTGGGAAAAGTAGGCAACCACAGCCATCTGGATTGAATGTGAATCGAGCCAAAATGCTTTCCAAAAGTCTAATTTCATATTTATGTAAAAGTTGCCAGTATGGTATTAAAAAGCTCCATATTTTGTTCACCTAGACTACCAAGTTAAGGTTTTGGCATATTTGCCCTTAGCACTCCCTCCTTTCCCCATCTTGGTAAGAAGCCCTGGTAGCACAGTAGACTAAGTATTGAAAGGCCTGCTGTTCAAACCCATCAGTGGCTCTGCAGGGGGAAAAAAGAGGCCGTGTGCTGGAAAGATGTACTCCCTTGAAAACTCTGTAGAGCAGTTCCACTATACCCCTTGGGGTTGCTATCAGTCTGACTACTTGACGACAGTGGGTATCTGCCCATTTCTGAACCTTTGATGAACAAGCTTCAGACACACTGTTCCATCTCCTTGAACATTTCATTGTACATTCCTCTCAAGAACACTATTCTATATATAACCAGTATATACCCCTCCAAACCAGGGAATCTGGCACAATATGGCCTTACCGTCCACAGATAATGGTGATCTCTCTTTCCTTTCTGGTTAAAATCCTATCTGGGAATAGATGTATTGTCATCATCCCTACTGTTGACTTATGTACAACAATGTAACCAGTCTTCTAGCCATTCAGGTGAGCCTCATCCATTGCCCCAAGTTATGGTCCACTTGGCTTGACGGCCCACAGTGCTGTGTGGCTCTCCAGACTCCCATCATCAACACCCTCTAAATATCCTTGGCCACAGGTGGTAGGCCCACGAGCCACAGCTCCATGCAAGCCAGTAAGCTTTGCGGTAAACCTATCTTGGAGTGCTAGTTCACACAGCGGCTTGTTGAGCCCGTTTGGCTGTCAGCTGAGTTTTGGTTTTGGGCAGTTTTGCTTTTCCAGATAAAGGCGAGTGTTTCTGAAGAGTGGACCTGATCAGAAACACTTTCTGAGTTTGCTCATTACATTGCAGGTTGTCTTACCATCAGCGCATATTAGATGTTGTCCCTCCTACGTTCTCAACTCTATGTCCAGCAAACCCAACCTGCATTTACAAGTACGGAGATGAAAGTAGCAGTAAGTAGTGAAATGAAACCCTTCGTCTTTCAAAAGTACACGTGCATTTCTACTCTGAAGTCATTTACCGAACCTGAAGAGAGTGGACTGTTTCCACCCCCACCCACTGGGGTGTATGTTTTCTATATAAAAGGCAGTCTGTCACTGGTGCCTTTTGAATAATTTGCCTTGTGGTCATTTGGAAGATTTTATTGTACCTTAATCATTGTTTATGGCTTCTGATTTTTAAAAGATTGTTTGCAGTGCCATATTTATGACCTTAGTGTTAAATACACTACTACGGGTAGGAACTTCTAACATGAAAGCTGGCATTTGTTTGGGTGATGGAGAGCCCTTGAGCTAAGTATCCCCTGACATCAGATCTGAGGTGGGAGGTGGGGGGCGGGGAGGCACAGGTGCATAGACTTTGGACAGAAGTGGTCTGCCTCCAGAAAAGTTCTTAGTGTTTCCTTACCTTTTGGCCACATCTTTCTAAGACTGCACCCTAGGTCAAAGGGACAGTATGCATGATAAGCCATTTTCCTCTTTGCACAGTGTTTACACTCCCTGAGGAAGAGGTGCTGTTCATTGGTGGTCACTGTCAAGAGTTGGCAAGTTGTTTTTCCAGTGGGCGCTTGGAACCGCTCCTCTCCTCTTGTTGTGTGGCAACTCCTTATACCTTAAAACTGGTCCGCTGTGTTCTTAGACGGTGCCCTGGCCCTCCACCCAGGTCCCTGACAACACCTGACTCCTTCAAATAAAGTGGCAGTCTCAATGCTAATCACACGTGCGATGTTGATGTGTTAAAACCGCTCCGAGAAGTAGGTGTGCTTGTGCCATGCTAACGGGCTGCTCCTAAGTGGTCAAGTGCAGGTTCTGTTTCATGCTCACCAACTAAGGAGCCCAGGCTTGTAGCCACTGTGCTTTCTGATGAGTCAAGCTTGATGGGGCTCGTTGAAGTGCCGGCCTTGACTTCTGCCTTGTAGCGGTTCAGAGAATCTTTAAGCTTGGCCTTTCGGAGCCTTTCCTTGTTTCCATAGGAACAACAGCCCCTCGTGACCGTTGTCTCTGCTGTGCTGTTTTTTGATTTGTCCTAAACGATCTCAAGTCCTGCAGGCCCACTTGCTTTGTCGTCTGTCCCCATGCCCCCATGCACCCTTTGTCTTGGCTTTGCTCTTGATGAGGTACTCCTCTCTTCAGGACCGAGCCCAAGTGCCTCCTTGGAAACATGTGTCAGCAAGTGAGGATTGACTTTGCTCTCTGGCTACAAGACAGCCTCCTCAAGACGTGCTTTGGTTATTTCATTGTGAGAACATTTTTAAAATCTGATCTCTCTCTCTCCCCCGTTTAGATTCTCTTCCTGGGCATTCTGTTGCCCTGTGTTTATCAGTTGCTTTTAAAAGTAAGGCGACCAATGCAGAAATCTTCACCATTTTGAAAAACATCCCAAATCCCAACCAGGAGGACGATGATGGTAAGAGAAGGAGAGGGGTGGGTGGGAGTGCTGCATGTAGGCCAAGTGAAAACAGAAACACGACTGTGGCCGCCTGAGTTCTGTGAAATCCCATCGGAAGCTCAGAAAGCAGTCTGTTCGTTTGACATGTTCAAATGAATCCAGGTTCCTCGAATCTGAATGTCTTTTCTTACATGCAAAAAGAGATGCAGACACCCTCTGAAGCAGCTTGCCTAGGGATGAAGTATCTAAAGTATCTAAATATGTAGGAAAATGCCCCCTTATCCTGCTGCACTTTTCAAACATTCCCTGCTGTTGCCGTAGAGAGGCTCTTCAGTGGGAAGCATCACTCCTGGAAATGTGCACATCAAGTGACCATATTAATCATTAGCATTCACTGAGGATGGGCTGTGTAGTTTAAACTCAGTCGTTGCCCTCCCCTCCCCGCTAGCATAGTGGAGCGAGCTGATTGACGAAATAATTAAAAGTTTATCTGAACCAGTAAGGGGTTAAGGAAAAGGTAATAAGTGGGTTCTTTGCTAAAGCATATTGTGAAAACTTCAATAACTATAGCAATGTGGAAGGGATGGGAAGTCTACTGGGACAGCTGGGGAACCCTTAGAGAGGGGTGTGTGTGTGTGTGTGTGTGTGTGTGTGTGTGTGTGTGTGTGTGTGTGTTGTGCATAGAAAGTGACTCAGGAGAATTTGAATTTCTCTGTGAAACTTGAATTACTAGAGAAGATGTAAAATAAAAGTCTTTGAAATAGATTTCTGTGTTGTAGGTTTACTGCATTACTTTTATATTCTTCATTATCTTGCCACCATATAGACAGAAAATGAACAGGGAAATCTGTGGTAATTGTGTAAGAAATGGATCATAATGAAAGAATTAGGAAAATAGTCACAAAGGGCAAAAACTAAGATGCTTACTTTGGAATCTAAAATAATAAAAGACCATCGCTGGTTTCAAATACGTAGGATCTAGCATTTAGATTTTGTAAAAGCAAAAACAAACTTCTTAGACTTTGATGAGCTGAAACCAGTGCTGATTTTTTTTTTTATTCCCTCCGTACTGATGGAGGTTAAACACGTGTTGGAGTATCTGTCCAGTATCCCAGATGCAGCCCCACGAACTTGCTCTGCTTTCACTTTCCAGATGAAGGATTCGGGTTTAACCCACTGAAGATAGAAGTCTTTGTCCAGACTCTGCTACACCTGGCAGCCAAATCCTTCAGCCACTCCTTCAGTGCTCTCGCCAAGTAAGTACAGCAGAAGCACCGCCTTCTTGTGGTGTCAGGACTCTGCTTTCTGAATGTCAATGGGAGTACCTTAGAGTGAAATCATTGGATGGGATATTAATTATAGTATTGTCGTATGGTACGTTGGGTTTGGATTTGTAGTAACTAAAATCGGTATCCCACTGCTGTTTTTAAGTGTATGTGTTTCCCTCTTCTGACAAGGGAGACGGGGAATCAAACTCACCATCAGCCCAGGATCAATTCCTTTGAGGGGAGGTCAGACATCCCTCGACCTTCCAAGTTTCCCTCCCATGGCACTCACTACTGCTCTGATGGGTTTGAGAAGTCATTGCAGTGGCCACATAGATCGTACTCATGATTGTGGGGTTGATTAAGGAAGTTAAGAGGTGACAGTTCAGGATCAGAAATGCTCAGAATACAATCTTCTGGTCAAAAGTACCTCTCCTCACAGGTACTCTTTGCTCTGGCTCTCGGCATTTAAGTGAGCCTCCTCCCCAAAGGTACTCAGCCTTACTCCATGGGCCAGTCGACCTGCTGTGCTGCCTGTGCTTCGGCTGTTGGTTCTGCTGCAGCCACTCCTCTGATGTCACAGATGTCTCCTGGCTCAAGAAGGTTCAGCACACCGGGAACTCGGGGTTTAAATGATGTGCTCCACTTGTGGCTCTTTTTCCTTGATTGTGAGGTCCCTCATTTCTGCTTCTGGGACAACTTATTTTTATACCCAGCCATATGCCAAAATTGACCAACCTCAAGTTAGAGTTCCAGGATTTTGCGATCACAGTTGCCCCTATTAACAGTCACTCACATATGATTGAATATTAACATCTTCCCCCACCTTCTCTTACCCAGACCCATCAAGAGGAAATGTGCCAAATCTGCCTGGTTGATGGTGGGAGTAGCGAAAACTATGTCTACAGAAGCCAAAGCAAATCATTTCTGCACCATGTGCATGTATATATGAAATGCACTTTTCTCACATAAACCATTATAGAGGCTAATGAGAACCAGGTCCGTAGTATAGCCATAGATACAGGAGCAGCTCTTACCCCTCATCTTTCTCAAGGGATGTCGGAAATCAGAGTTGACTACACTTGCAGGAGGCCACCCAGAAGTTGGTATCTAAGGACTGTGCTTTCTTGCATGTTAGACAAGCTTCAGAAGATGAAGGCATCTATTCTCCGAGCCAAGCCGAGACTGTGGACTCCTCTCCCTTTCTCAACTCCTGAAGCTCCCCACTGTAGTCAGATGGTGTGCGGCCAGAAGGTGCCGCCTGTGCTTAGGGAGGATTCCTGAGTCCGTTTCATTATATATACTCCGTAAACTTTTCATCCTGAGCTAACAATACCCGTTGCCCGTCAAATCCGTTCCCACTCAGCATAGCCATGGAGAGCAGAGTAGAAGTACCCCAATAGGTCTGTAGGGAACCAGACTGCCACATCTTCCTGCTGAGCAGCTAGTGGGCTTGAACCACCGACCTTTCAGTCCCATAGTCAAGCATTTAACCACTGTGCCACTGCAGTTCCTTGAGCTAAAGTAATATATTGTAAATCTTTGTGAAGGCTCCCTGGTGGCCCATTGGGTCAAGCATTGTCCTGCTAACCACAAGGTTACTAGTTTGAATCCACAAGCCCTACCTCGGGAGAAAGAGGAGGCAATGTACCTCCTTAAAACATTTCCAGCCTTAAACACCCTGTCAGACAGTTCTGCTCTGTCCTCTCATTTCCTGTGAGTCAGAATTGACTGGTGTGTTTGGTGTTTTGATTTTTTTTAAAAATAAATCGTTTTATTGAGGGCTCTGACAGCTTTTATAACAATCCGTATATCAGTTATATCAAGCATATTTGTACATATGTTGCCATCATCATTTTCAAAACATTTTCTTTCTACTTGAGCCCTTGGTATCAGCTCCTCTTTTTTCCCTCCCTCCTTCACTCACCCACCACCTTTAATGCATTATAAATTATTATTTTCACATCTCACACCGTCTGCTGCCTCCCTTCACCCGTGTTTCTGTTCATCCCCCCACCTTCCCTCTACCCTCATGATATTGCTTCTCCCATTTTTGTACCTGAGGGGTTTATCTGTCCTGGATTACATGTGTCAAGAGCTCTTACCTGTACTAGTGTACGTGCTCCAGAATAGCTGGATCTGTAAGGTAGAACTGGGGTTGTGATAATGTGTGGGGGGAAGCATAAGAGAACTAGAGAAATGTGTGTTTTGTCCGTGCTATACTGCACCCTGGCTGACTTGTCCCTTCCCTGTGACCCTTCTGTAAGGTGTTTTGATTTTTAAGGATTGGTGGTAGGTACCATAAAAACTGAATTCCTACTCATGTCTTTATATCCTTCATGGCTACTGTTTTATTTTGCATTTATATTTTAAAAGATTTTGAAAGCATTAAATTGTTCATGGAATTAGTATATATGTGATATTTTTTCTCTCTCCATTATCAAAAGGTTTCATGAAGTCTTCAAAACCTTAGCTGAAAGTGATGAGGGCAAATTACATGTCCTCAGAGTTATATTTGAAGTGTGGCGGAACCACCCACAGGTAAGAGCCATTATGTGATCGTAAAGTAAGCTGAGTAACTGCCTTCGTTTCAGCTTGTCAAACATGAGATTTTATTCTGAACCTAACAGCTTAAAATCTGGAATGTCTTTAGTGCTGTGGAAGGGATGATGTTGGATTCACTCTTTAATGAACAAGTGCTGTGGCTTGGTTTTGGACTATTTAATTTCTCACTACAGTTTAAATGTTAGTTAAAATACTTATTCCAATTGGCTAGGAAGCTGTTACCCAGTCTTAAGTTTATATAGACGAGCTTTAGATTTCTCAAACATTGATATATTATTTTCATATTATAAAGAGACACTGAAATATCAGAACATGTGTATTTAGGATTTTATGATAAAACATTCTTAGGTTTTTAGCTTCTGGGATTTAATGAAAATTATTGAGATATTTTCTGAAATATAAAACAAGTGATATGCTAGAGTTTTTGTTTTATCGTTGTTCAATTTGTACTGGTACTGTAGTATCTCTTGCATTGCCAAAATCAAACATAGCGAAGAAATAAATCTTAGGCTAAAAGAGTCAAGTTGACTCCATCTCCACAGAAAGTGAATTTTTTTTCTAATCATTTTATGAGGGGTTCATACAACTCTTATCACATTCCATACATACATCAATTGTGTAAAGCGCATTTGTACATTCATTGCCCTCATCATTCTCAAAACATTTCCTCTGCACTTAAGGCCCCTAGCATTAGGTCCTCATTTTCCCCTCCCTCCCCACTTAGCTCTGGTAGCAGTACCGTGGTTCTGACCGGCAGGTGGGTCAGTTTGCCCTAAACAGTGCTCTGTGTTGTAGATGATTGCCGTGCTAGTGGATAAGATGATTCGCACACAGATTGTGGACTGTGCTGCAGTAGCAAATTGGATCTTCTCCTCTGAACTATCTCGTGACTTTACCAGGTAACATGGATTCTAGGAATTGTTTTGTGTATACTCTCTTATACAAGGACACCAAATTCTGAAGCACAGTCCATTCTGGTGGAGTTGGACTTGTCCAAAGATCCGTAGACAGTAGAAATAGATATAGCCAGTCAGGTTGCTTTATCTCTCAGAGAGACACCATTTGGATCTGGCCCATGTAGCCAGGTAGAAATGCTGACGAAGAATTCAGACTATTGAGAGAATACAATCCAATCTGCCTGGCCAAGAGCCATGCGGTGTGTCAGAGCCTCAGTCAGACCCGGTGTCAAGTCACAGGAGGATGGTGACCTGGCATGTACACGAGGAGCCAGGAGAGAAATGAAGTTGTCACAAATTAAATCTAAATCATGAAAGGATCGAGAAAAGCCTGATGGCTTTTTTCCTTCACGTTTATAAAAGCTTGAGAGTGAGTGCAGAATGTATATAAAGTTGGAGCTGCAGGAAAGAGACCTTACCAAGGTGGTTCTTAACTGGTGAGGTTGAATCCATAAACTTTACATTCTGTCAGAACTGGGACGACAGTGGTAGCCAAACAGGAAGCAAAAATGGAAAGGACTTGCAATGATTTTTGTAAAAAGGACATCACAAGTGGTGGCTTCACTCACTGTGCCTGCTAATCTGAAAGATCTCCTTAGGATAAAACAGTATGTGCAGCTAGCCAAGTTGGCATGGACAAATGAAAGCCACACAAAAGTGTTCTAAGATCTTTTCAGACTCTCAGAAAGCTGATCACCCAGGTGTATAGAAGCCACTGTTCTGAATAAGTTATTATTTCACCCCATTCAGTCCTCCGCAGAGTAGCCCTGTAGGAAGATGTCTGGGAGCTTGATTAGCTCCATAGAGTCACACTGCAAGAGCTAGGATTAAAATCCAGACAGGCTTGAATAGATGCATTGCCCAAGGACTCGCCAATTTGCAACCCCTAGCCCAGCGATTTCCATCTCTTCAGAGCCTTCCAGAGTCCAGTGGTCTACTCTGGGCTTCTGTGTATTCTGGACTTGAGGTTTGGGTTTTGTCAAATTGTCCATCCCTGTCAAAATCTGTAGAAAGAAGTGCTCCACTCTCTACTGGGGTTAGAGGACCTAGTTTGTCGACATAAAAGTATCTAAGAAGCTACTTTAGAAAATTGGTTTTTAATTGTGCAACAAACATGTACATGTGACCATGGATACTCGAGCAGTTCTGTAAGGAAGTTGCCATACTTAGGTATTTAATTCTTGATGCCCAACAGTTAGTTGATAGCTGTCAACAATTGCCTTTTTTAAATGTTCCAAGAGAATTAACGTAGTGTATGCCAGTTAAAGTCAGTAAAGCCGGTGCAGTGAGCCTCTGGCCAGTGGTTAACATTTAGACATTTAGGGTTTAAATTTAGAAGAGAAAAAACATAGTTTTTTCCCTAATGTAAGTGGTGGGGTTTTTTTTAATGCTAGTGTTTTTTTATGGTTTTCCATTTCAATACATCGCCCACGTTTATCTAGTAGAGATTGGAAATAAGAAATATAGAAAGGACACAGCACAGAGTTCACGAGTCTCAAGGGTAGAAAGAGATGGTTGCACAATCAAGGCAAATCATAAGTATCGCTGGAAGACTTTTAAGTTATTTTTACCCAAAGGGTAAGGCTATTTTAGAACTCAGGAATAAATGACTATAAACTTTATCATATAAAAGTATAGAAAACATTCAATAACCAAATATAATATTGCTTTTAAGATTATTTGTTTGGGAAATCCTGCATTCCACAATTCGTAAGATGAGCAAACACGTTACGAAGATTCAGAAAGAGCTAGAAGAAGCGAAGGAAAAACTTGCCAGGCAACATAAACGGGTAAGGCTTTGGTGATGTCACCGTTACAGGCGGTCTGGGGAACCAGGGTCTCTGTAGAATAGTCACAGGCATCACCTGGACGGTGCTCCCTTTTCCTGAGCCGCATCCTGCAGTGCTCCTGGAAGCAGTGGAATTGGCGGATCCGAGGCTTGTTGCATTGTGCTGGTGTACTACTGCACAGTGAACCTGGCAGCAAGCTGTAAACCTTTTCCATAGTTGAGACTCGTGGTCCAGTGTCATATTTACCCCATGAGGGACGAAGAAGCTAGTGGACAGTGGTGTGTCTAGATGAGTTCATGGGGCATGGGGGGGACAGGGAGAGTGTAAAGGCTTCATGTTTTGTAAGTGCTGTGAGGCACTTAGTTAATTAGTCTTTCCAAATTTTCAAGGTACTTCTCATGTGGATGGGAGGCTCAGCAATTCAGCCTTTTGTTTGAGGAAGCAGTGAGCTGATTGTGTGGGGGTTGGGGGTAGATGGTGCTTCAAAAAGTGTGTGGAAAAATTGACTTAAGAAATAATGGAGTTTTTCCATGAAGTTTTTAAAAAACCCTCCTATAGAATTATTCAACATGATGGCACTGGTGAACTTGGGCCAGTAGTTTCTAGTGTAATTTACATAGTATGTGTCAATCACAGTAGTAGGTCTGGGGGGACAGAGGGTTAGTTGTTTCTGTGACCCTATGCCCTTTCCTGTGGATGAAGAGTGACTTATGCTTCTGTACCACCACCACCCACCCACCCCATCTTTTTTTTTTTAGTCATTCTATTAGGGGCTCATACAACTCTTATCACAATCCATACATACATCAATTGTGTAAAGCACATTTGTACATTCATTTCCCTAATCATTCTCAAAACATTTGCTCTCTACTTAAGCCCCTGGCATCAGCTCCTCATTTTTCCCCTCCCTCCCCACTCCCCTCTCGCTCATGAACCCTTGATAATTTATAAATTATTATTTTGT